AAACGAGAATCCGTAACTTACGGTACGGAGCGAGAAGACGAGGTTAGTTATAGTAAGATATTTGTTATATCTCTACTGTGTTTCTGGCGGGTTCGGGAACGATTTCGATTCATGCGGAACGGCTTCAAATTTCTGACGCAACTCGAAAGCAAAACGAGTCAATTTGAAATCGTTGTTCAGTCGTTAGGACGTTTTAATACACAATTTAAAGTAAAAGAAAGTTTTAAACTTTTACTTGCTATAAAAGTTAAGAACACTTGGCGATAAATCACGAAACATTTTGGCAACAAAAACAGCTTTAGATTTTAGCGGGCCGTACAGTAGAATACGACCCGCTAAATTGACCAATCACAGCGCACGCAGTAATTGAGAGATATAATAATACAGTGTATGAGGTATTCGCCGTCGTTTGACAAATAGGCAGAATTCGACGCTGTTGTTTTACAGAGTATGGCTTAGAAATCCATCAGGATGCGATGGGAACATGCAGAACCGCCACGGAAATGCTCATTACAAATTTTTAATGCTCATGGTTTGAAAAAGCTCCCCAATTTTGCAGGAAACTAGCGTGCTTAAATTGCACCTTAGTCAAATTAATCAATCAGATAAGTACAATTGAGTGCCCAATGGCATTTATGATTGGCAGGCTGAACATCATAGCCTCAATGTATAGGCTTTGTTTAATACTGAGGTCTTGACTTCAAATCGTGATGTTGTCGGGGTTGTACAACATGCCCATCAGTATTGTCTGTTTTTTACAGGTGGCTGTTACATGATGAGGCACATGTATATCCTACGACAACGTAGATATGGCAAGAGGAAAACAAAGACGAGATAAGCATGGAAAGGTTATGCCATTTCATCCTGAATGACAGCTTGAAATCAAACGTTTACTGCTATCAATGGTGATGGGAAAAGCGAGATGTTTTTAAATGTGGATATACATGTGTATGCAGCCTGTAAATGTAATAACTTTGCGTTTGTTTGTATGAAGTAAATGATCTAAGTGAACTTTGATGGTACATTGTAACAATGAAAGAGATTAACTGGCAGCTGTCCTCGTAGCTCAGTGCAAAGCTGATTTGCAAAGGTCGTTGGGTTCAAGCCTTTGGAGCCTGTGACTTTTCTTCAGTTTTTTCCCCTGCCAAAAAACATGCATATCTGCGAAAATCGCATTCTCTTTTGTTGGTGTTCATTTTATTTTTCATGTTTTTATCAGGGGACACTAAATAACATAAGGGAAAAGTAAAGATTGTGTGAGGTTCTCCAAAGCCACCTATGGCAGCCTGTCAATTTTTTAATTCGATTCACCTAAAAACTGACAGGAATAAAAGATGTACATGGTCTGACATTCCTATAGATTCTTAAGAGTGAATGCCTACAAAAATGGACCTAAATCGCCTATCAATGGCACAAGTCGAAAAATTGATTTCGCTTGTATTTTGTCCATAGATAGGTCCTAGTAAGAATAGAAACGGACCATAGTTAGTTTCTGCTAATACAGCTTTCTTTGGTAGAAATACGCTAAAAACGATTTCGACCCGATTGGGCTCAAAATCTACTTCCGGTTTTGCTGAATTTTCCGAATATTTGATTGCTTCGCGCTCCGCAGAACAG